GACAAAGACACATACAACACGCATATCTACTGCATGCACATTCAGGATGGTATGTTCATGTCAGGCAGCGGTACCACCGATCTATTTTTGGAAGAAGAAAGCAAACCAGGCGATGGTCATACTAGACGACTGAGAGCTGTGGAGAATGACACAGAGAAGCCATGGCTCCTCTTTTTAAACGTTCAGGGAAACATCAGCTTAATTACCATAGTGACAGAAGGTATGTTAGAGTTACCGTGTTAGTATATCTGTCATTTTGATTTGAAAAGGAACAAACATACTCATACTGAAACAGGCTATATTACATCATTGGATTATGTGATTAAGTGCGCACTCTATAAACCGTTCTATATCAATATCTGCTACGGATATTCTTTCCAACATGTTTTGCTCAATGTTATTTTGATCTCAAGTGTATTCCAATTCAAACATTGTTTAACCGCACTGTTTAGAACCACTTGTTTACATAAGCAGGATGACAAATGTGCTATAAAACATATTTTGTTTATGTTATATTTTAATATCATAAACATTTGCAGCTTTTCGATTTGATTGACTTCAATTTTTATTTTAGGTGGTGAAAAGGAAGATCAGCTAACCTTTAGTGATGATACAGAAGGGTGTCAATCGGAGCTGCTTAGTGCAGACAAATCTACCTTTAGACGTAACATTGAGGATACGTCTGTTTGTTTTGGAAACAGACTATTGAAAGCAAATGAGGAGATAAGATTAAAGGTGACACGAACAAAACATGACGGAGTCTGCGAGATAGGAGCAATGTCCGAGGAACATTTCAGTCATATGACCTTATCAAGAAAAGGTTTCGGATACAAGGTAGTTTCGAAATATCTGACACAGCCCGTTCTACGAAATAACGTACTACATGAACCAACGACCAGTCAGATTGTGGTCAGCATTCCTATGGTAGAGTCCGGATTGCCAGTGTTCATGTTTTCGGGCTGCACTCTGGATTTATGTACAGGTACTGTAATATACACTGCAAACGCCTAACAAACCTTACGTTTAAACGCGTAAATTATCTCATTCAGATATTAGAACACGTAGGTTATCCCGTTTTAATGCGACAATCATCTCGTTAAACTGATTTAATTCTCTCTTTTAAGCGCGTACGTTTTTTCTCTTAAACACAATACTTATCTTAGAGCATGGAAACAAAATGGTGACGACAGCTGTCAGCAACTATTTTGCTATATGTCACCATGGTTTCGCATGCAACTCAAATAAAAAGATACATTTGCTATTTAAAACAGGTCACGCACACACTGTTACTTATTCATCTAAACAGATACCGACGTATGTCAATAAGCGTTCTGATCAACATCATATCGCCATGTGTCGGTAAAAGTTGTTTACATTGTAATAAAGAAGGTGCCTTTGTCGATAGTGCCAGTAGATTTACATATTCACACTCAGTGTTAAAATATGCTTCATATGCTGTTATAGACAATGGCGTGAATGTATGAAATATACTGTATGACGTCAAGTGAATCATGCCGTGAACTTCATGATTTTGAAAGGTTTGTGGGGGATTCTCTTAATTTAAATTACGCAAAGAGCTTTATACACGGCTATTTATCTTTCAAGCATCAATATATTGACGAAAGTACGGATAATACAATTATTTCAACTGAATGTTTGTTATATCTGAGATATATATGTTTTTTTATTAAGTGAAACAACTTACCTTATATCTATTTTAAGTCTCGGTGATTTCCTCGAGATGCCTGAAATGCAATCTCAATTAATTAAGAGGTACAAAATAGACTTTCTCCCTCTAGACAAACAAAAAATTGCTTTATATTCTCCTGTTTAATCTCTTTTCATTTCTGATCCCTTTAATAAGATGTGTCCGTAAACAACCAATATACCGAAATCAGCAATTATTATTTTCCTCTTTACACTTAATTCATACACAGTGTTCTATGGAAAATATGAATCCGTTTTGCACATATCATATCCATATAAATAATCAGGGCTTTTTTTGCTCAAAACATACACTACCACTTCTTGTTAATCTAAGGGATTTCCTTCTAAGAATAAACATGTAGAATTCAGTCTTCTGTTCTTATTATATAAGTTACGGGTGGGCAAGGTGAGGAAGGAAAATTCCTCGATGCTCTCAGATTACAATTTGAAAACATAACTACATACATTTGCCAAAGTTGATTCACATTTGATATAATTCAGGTTAAACGACACTGATACTTTACTTGTGTTTTATCGTTATTATCTTGCGTTTTAGCGAGATAATTCTCGCGATTTAAACAAAATTACTTTCGTAAAAAGCATACAAAACTATTTCATAATCTAACCAGCAGTATAAAAATGCATATCAGAACATTAGGATTATACTGACCAGATTACTTCCTATTTTTTCAGATAATCCCAGTCGAGGTCTGTCAGAGGAGACGTCTCTAAAGGAAACTAATGAAACCACAAGCGGAGTAGGTGAACAACTACAGCAGGTACAGAAAACGCTGGCATCTCTGGAAAGAAAATTGAGTCAAAACGAAAACAATGACAATGAACATAAAACGCAAATTCTAGATGTAATGAAGGCCGCTCAACACGAAGCTAAATTGCAATCTACTTCTCTGTCTGAATTGAGAGACCAGCAATGTGAAATGATGACAGTAATTAAAGGTACACGGGGAACAGTCGAAAAAACAAACGTTCACGTGAAAACGATCAGCAGCAAGATAAATAAAGGGTTGAACAGAAAAAATACGAATCCGCGTGATGACAGATCGCTTGAAATGTTGAGCAAATACATCAGTCCAAACTACGCTAGAATCCAGAATTCCCTCTGTGAAAATGAATTTATGGATTATTTGTTACAAGACGGCGTATTGACAGGACAACAAAACGAAGATATCAGAAAAAAGGTACCCTGATTACAATTAATATACCTCATCTCTATAACAGCTTGTCTAATTTGGATCATATGACAGGATAATCAAACATCATGTCGCCCTCACGAGCTCGAGTTTCCCCGGACATATTTCCCTTATTTGGAGCCTCTCAAGTAAAATAATAAACACCACAAGTGTGTTCCGAGTGACTGAAGTAGACGACAAAATGGCGCATCAACCTGATCATTTTTACCGTTGTGTAATTGTTTCATTTCTGCTTAATAAAATATTTATTGACCTTTTTGTAGGGACAAACGATTCTGTGTTTCTCCACTATAATCATATGACATTGATTAATCTCGGAGAAAAAAAAGACTCGTGTTTCCTTTCAATAAGTGCAATACAAGTATTATGTTTAAT